GTTTTAACAACATGTGATGGTTATTTTTAAATTTCAGCAGTACATTTCCAATTCCCTTCACTTGGCATGACTCATCATTCTCAAATTTTACAAATCCACCATTCAGACTAGAAAAGTCTGAAATGCAGCCAATATTGGGTGTCCTATGAAAGGAACAACCTAAATCCAGGACCGAGTCCTGATCATTATTTTCAGATAGAGACACATAGGCAACCCCAATATTGGCTCCCACTTTTTTATAATTAGCATCAACTATTAAAGAAGCATTTTCAGTATTAGACCCATTTTTTTGGTCATTTGCCTTTTTAAAATAATCTTTAATAAAGCGGCCAGTTTTTTCACAGTAAAAATATTTTCTGTTACTGTTGCTGTTCGCTTTTTCTTTAATTGGTTTCTTGCCTTTTCCTTTGGTGTTATTTCGTTACCTTTTGTTAAAAATTTTATTCTTGTTACAATTGGAATGACTGAAGTTACTTACTCCTTTAACATTTGGTTTTTGATTTGATGACACACCCTCAACATGAAACACTTTTTTGTGCTCAAATTTTAATTCAAGTTTTTTGTTCAGAAGAGAACTGTGAATTATTTCAATAGTGAGATCACTCTTGCCATACTCTAGAGCATTTCTTATGTTATAATCTCCTAGAGTATTAAGCAGGCCAACTACCTTCTGTTCATCAGAATTTTTCTCATCACTGTTTGCTAAGTCTTGTGTGATCCTATTAAATCTATCCATATTATCTCTCGTGTCAAGATTAGGATCAAACTTAAAACTAAAGAACTGTCTCCAAAGAAGGCATTTATTTGGTACAGTCTTAGTGAGGTAGTGTTTTTCTAAGGCAGTCCACAATTCTACAGCAGTTTTAGTCTCTTCTACTTTCCTAATCACAGAATCAGATAAGCGCAGAAACAAGGTGCTCTAGGCCAGTTCATCTTGTTCAGTTTTCCTAGCTTCAGATAAGGTTTCTGACCAAGATTTATCAATGACCTTAGCATATTTTAACCGTAACATGAGTGCTTTTATTTTCTGACGCTAGAGATTAAAGTCTCCTTTACCATCCCAAATTTGGACATCTACCTTAGAGTTCATGGTGTGCAGTAATGTGAAATTGTTCACAAGTATGATAAAAACAAGTATATCACAATTGTAATTCAGTCAACAGTATGTCACAAAGATCACTGTCTTATTATTTCAATTTCAAATTATGTATAGGTTGTGCTTAGGTGTGATGTGTGCAAAAATATATCACACATATTAAGGCACAGTCAATATCACCAAGCATGCAATGGAATTCAAACACATAAACTTACACACACAGTAAACTATCAAAGGAGTAACTGCAATGTATGTACCTTTGAGGCAATTATTCTCAGGCAGTTCAACACCTGAGAAGATCAATTTTGAGTATTAGTACAATTCACACAGAATGTACAACAATTTAACTATGAAAATATAATTTTTGGTTTTATTATCCACACACACAGTGAAAGGTTTCAAAAACAGTTTTTAGAGAATTACTGGTTTCTTGAACCGAAACCCTAATCTCCAAAGTTTCTAGGATTCTCTCTGGGAACCCTAGACAGAGGTAGAGTTAGAGGAGGTTTAGTGAAACCCTAGTTTTTGAAAAAAAAGATTTTTTATTGCAAAAATAATACTTCCAAGAATAAATGTATCAACAATACTCAAAAATGTCTAATTATTCATAAATACAATGTCTCTAGACTACTATAGGTACCACAACACACAAACAAGAAACGCCTGTGAATTTCACCAAGGAAACAGGTTAGCCTAGACCACTGTACAACTCACAATATATTGAAAGGTTATCATCACACTGCAGAATTTACGGAATACACAATAGTCTTCATTTATTTTATAGAGAATAATCACCAACAGCACACTCAACACTGTCAAGAAAATTTCAGTCTTATGCGAGGAAGAAAAAAATAAAAAAAATGTTGGCAGATCTTTCAAGACCTGCCGTTTTCCTTTCGACTGGTGACTCGAGTTTCTGACCCTCGACTAAAGGGGACTGAAAACAACAAAAAAATATTTCCAAACTCTGATACCAATGTAGGTACCTAGGAATGTTTAGAAAACATTGAAAAATCGCAAAGCTAAAATCAAGATTTGTATATCTGAATGAAACAGTAAAGAACACAAACAATTTTTTGGCTGAACCCTCGAGATTCAGTGATTGGCTAGATCGCCTAGTCCTCGTTGAGCATCCATGAAGGAATAAGCTCAAATCCAAAAATCACCGACCAAAACACAGCAGTACTTCGAGTTACAGAAAAAAGAACACACAATTCATCGACTCAAAACAATGGCACACAGCCACTTCTCAACATCAAGAACTCACACAAGAGTTCATAAATCTCACTCTCTCAACCACTACACAAGATCGAAGAGAGAAATCAAAATTACAGAGAAAATAAAAAAAAAACTCGAAGAAAGCTGCTCGAATGATAAACGAAAGAGAGTAGAAACCCTAGAGACATTTTTCCTTTTATATGAAAGAGGCTGAATGATTTAATCCAAAGGACCTTATTTTGCCATGCGTCGAAGATCCAGTAAAGTTGTTAATTGACACTTAAAAACGCGTTTCGTTAACTCGTTTTTCTACTTTCCAGATTCTTCCACTTATTGGGTCATTTATCCGGGTCTTGGGCTGGGCATTTCAACTTGGGCTTCACAAAGAACAGCAACCCAATTTCTACAGGTATGTTAAAAAAATTTATTATTGGACTTTTTTTTTATGACCATTATTATTGGACTTTTGTTCAATACTACGTTCCATATTCATTAAGAAACCCATATGCTGTAGAAACCTCCGCCTTGTCCAAGTCCTATATCGCAGACGGGACAATTGGGATCAGTGCAATGTACACAAGGATAATCGCATTCATTAAGTTTCCTCGATGTTTTCGGTGTTGGTCGTACCTTTACTTCGATTCCTACCAAATTTCGATCTGGTAAAACTGCAAATGCATACAATAATCAATTAATTAATTAGTTGTTTCAACTCAACTCATCAAACTTTACCCCATAATAATGCTAGTGTCGTTAATTATAATATTGTGTGTGAGAGAAGAGTGGCAATATGTCGAGCTCGACTCGTGTCCAAATCCTAAGCTTCAACCCTTTTGCTGTGGGGCCTCACCAGTCAAGTCACCCATGAGTTCGCTCATTTTTTTTATTTTTTTATTTTTAACAAAAATAGCCCTAAAATTTTTTTATATTATAAAAAATGTAAAAAATTGTATAGCCAAAAATGAGCTGACACACAAGCTAGCTCGCGAAAAATAAAAATAAAAATAAGTTCAGCTCGGTCCATGACTCGTCTCAAAACAAGCCTGAGTCTGAGCAACTAGACCTGTTTCTCACCCTTATGGGTGGGAGGGAGGGGAGCTAACCAGTGGGTGCAAGCAGGAGGAGAGTTAAGAGAGCGATCTTAAGTAAAGCACTCTCCATGTTTAGCTTTGATGGAATTCTAGGGTATAGATGGGAGATGAATTTAATTTATACAAGTAAATTTTGTATTATTCAATGCCAAGATGGAATAAACAAAGGTTTCTACAAAATGGAGAGCAAACCTAGGACGCATTGTACGGCTCAATAAATGGATAATATCAATATTTTTCTTTTTGGGTATAGTTGATATAGCTTATTATAGAATAAAAATACAATAATTATTTCTTAATGTCATGAGTTGATGTTAACTACCCCCCTAGCAAGCTAGGCGTTCGACCAAATTACAATACAAGAAAATGATATTGCATGTAAACAAGTTGAGAATTGTTTGACTTTTGAGAAGTTAGAAGGAACTTTTGAAATAAAAAGTTACTTTTGGACTCATTTGATTAATTTTGTAAAAATGATTCTTTTAATTAAAAAGAGTTTTCAGACGAAGTTGATTCAATGTTGCATCCTCTAAAAATTCTTTCGGATGAGAAAGTTCTTTTGGAAATTAATTTTTCAATATTAATTAAGATAAAAAACCTTTCTATAAAAAGCATAAGCAGAAAAAAAGGGTCCGATCAAACGGGCTTAAATATTTCATTCTCTTCGATGTATGCGATTCTTTCTCGCATAATTCTCATGACAACCTTATAATATACTCAACAACTCGATAAAATTTATTCCAATTAACTTAAATATGTTTGACTTCAACATTAAACATGCACTAAGTTTTCTAGATCCAACAAATTTTGATGCATTATTGGAGGTTTACTTTTATTAATGACATACAATATACAATCAACTGATTAAGTGTATAATTTTTAATGACCATGTGCTTCTACACACATTTAGCCATCATATAAAAGAATGCGGCTCAATATTTCTAGTTTAAAAATTTCTTCTTGGAGGAGGTTATCATGTCACGCCTCTAATGCGACTACCTTGTTATAACTTCACTTCTGTCATTAGTCTTGTCTTCGACATCTCTTTTTTTGCAGTTAAAGTAACGACTTCGAACATGGCTAGTTCTCGTAGTGTGACAAGCACAAGTACAAATAATTGTGGTAGGAAAATAGGTTTTTTAAAAAAGAATTGGCGAATGATGTGTTGTCACGTGGTGCAATATAAACAATAATGTTAAATACGATGTAAATATAGTATGATTAATTTATTAAAAACAAAACTCGATTTGTACGTTGTTGTTTGTGAATAGTCATCTTACAAGTATAACAACTTGTCTGCAGGTAAATATTCAACCTCAACAGCAGTAACTTGATTCTTTTGGTTAATTACTGGCCATCCTCGGTGCAAGCACTAGATCTACAAGGAATTATCGGCTATATCTTCGGATCAAAGGCTGGGAATGACACGACCCGTCCCGACTCAACCTAATTGACTCGACGCGTGTCGTGCGCCGATGGTAAATGCCAGCTAAATGCCAAACCCACCACCTAGGCAAACTTGACCTAATTTGACTATGCTAAATTTCTATGAAAATTTTGACAGAGTTTCCCCTTAAAAATGGACAAAACCAACCTGAAAAATCATCAAGACCTCGAATAGACATTCAAACCAAAAGTTTTGGAAACCACCACTTCCACTAATACCACCACAACTAAAACAAATATAACAAATTTCGACTGAGTACTTCTGCAACAACATCATGTCTACGTGCAAGCATTACATCAATTACAAACCCTTCTACAAAGTGCATGACACCCCAAATATTAGACAAAATACTTAACAAACATGAGTCCCCCAACTATTCATTACATACTATGAAACGGTCTCTTTCGCTTCAGCAGGCTTTTCCAAGTATCTCAAAAATCAACGGTCTCCTAAAAGGAAAAACATGACAAAAATATGAGTTTGTAACTCGTTGAGTGGATGATTTGCAAATAAGTAAACTTTTTCCATTTATGCATATTTTCTAAAAATTTTAACTTTATTAAATCCTTGAGAATTTCTGAATCTAGTAATGCCTTTAAAAACTAAATAAGATTACATTATAAAATTCTTTGTTCTAACTTCTAGATAAGTATCTGTAAGGTATAACAATTATAAACAATCTGATATTCATGAAAATCTATGAAATATTGCTGCTACTTAATACGAGAAGCTGAAAACTTTATTCTGAAAACTGAATTAACTGAATTCCATAATCTGAAATCTGAGAACTGAATAAGTACTGAAAAATCACACTAAAAATAGTACCCAATGAATAGCCTTACTCATGTACAGAGTAATCTCGATGTACAAGGTAAAGCCATTCAAATTTGATAATTTGATAATCTGGTCATACGTACGCAGAGCTGCCCCAAAGGCTAATCACCCTAGTACACGGCCCAAAGCCTATGTGTGTATGAGAGTGGGTCCCAAAAATCATTGATAATCTGGTCATACACTATGAAAACACATTCACGATAGTGCAAAGCGAGTAAAATCACTATAACTAGTCATATATTATGGAAACACATTCACATCAGTGCAAACTGGGGTAAAATCATCTGGGTACTTTCTGGTGGTTTTTAGAAATAACTTTAACTATACTGAAATATGTAATAAGAATATAATACATGCTACTAAAATAATTTAACTGAACTGAATTTAACTTTAAAAGCAATTGATAATAAAGTCCATTTTATTCTGAAAATCATGCTATGAAGTCAACTTTATAAAATAAATAACATTAAAATTTAAAGAAGACTTATTTCTTAAAAATAAGTTTTATCCACTTACAAGGTAGGAGCTACAAGCTAGATTGCCTGATAAACGTTTCCAATTTCCTCGTCACCACCTGAAATACGATATTAATAACCAATTTATCCTCTATCTAATCAACAAACTTTAATATCTAATGATAGAACTTAATTTAAATTCTCGTGACACTTGAATAAATTCTCAAATTTTCCTTTATTAATTGGAGCTAATCACACTTTATAATCTCTTGACTAATAACTAATTATCAACATAACCTTCTTCCCAAGTTTAAAACTAATTTTACTCTCCAATCAAGTGAAACTAGTAACCATAATTCCACCCATTTAATCTACATTTTGTTCCATAAAATCAACTCCCAAGTGAAATATTCCATTTATATAATCATTTCCACAAATAATCCATGCTCAATCATCAAATTTAAAAACTAAGGTTCGCCATTTTTATCTCCTTACCTTAGTGTAGATAGAAATTCAAGAATCAATAACCTGAACTCCAAGTAGGATTCCTCTCAAAAATCTGAAAATTTTCGAGCGAAAATAAAACCCTAAAATTTAACATAAAATATATCTACCTCTTGAAGAAAATAAAAAGAGAGGAAAAATGAAATGAACCTTGAACTACCTCTTTCCTTTCTTTTTCTTCTTCCTTTTTTCCTTTTTCTTCTTCTTTTTCTTCCCTCTTTTCTTTCCCTTTTCTTCTTCTCTGCCGGTTCTTTCTTTCTTCTAGTGTGTGTATGTGTGATTTATGAGAGAAAAAGTGATGGTCAAAGGCATTAAAAACCCACTAATTCCAATTTGCACAAAAAGTCTCTCTTTTCTAATATGAGCTAACATTTAAATCCTAAACTTCTCAAAAATATATAACTAAATTTTCAACTTCCAATTGTCTCCAATATAACCCTCATATATTGTCAATTGCAAAATAAATCCCAATAAAATATTTTAGTCAATTCAAGTCCCAATAAAGTCATTTATTTCATTTAAGTCCCTATATGAATTTGACTTTGAAAATTCAACTCTTGACTTTTGACTAAATAATGTGGGTTGTAACAGGGAAGTCTTAAGATGATCTGAAGAAGTTCAATTATCTACATGCAGCCTTATCAGAATCACTTTGACTGCTTCCACCAGTGCCAATGAATTCAAGATCAACCATATCTGATGATATCTTAAGCAGTGGCATACATGTAAGAAAAGGTTGGTTTGCTGATTACTCTGCTAATGCAATGGGGAGAATGAGGAGGCTATGGGGTCCTGATTGCACGAAGTGCAGGCTGGAGATATGGTTGGATGATGATGAGTTTTCCAGCTGGGTGATCAGTTTAAGTTTCCGGTGTTCCATTGTAGACCTCAGGTGTGACTCGGGAAGGAAATGGCTTATGTGCGAATGAAGATTATTGCTGCAGCTGTCATGTATGAATTTGAGGTCGTGGCTATTTGATGCAAATATTCCAAGTATGAGCGCTGGAAGAAGAGCCGTGCTGGAAGATAATGATCAGCTGGAACTTTGGTGGTTGACACCCTTGGGATAATTGAATTTGAATATGTTTGGTTTTGTTATTATCCATTTGTTTTACTTTATTATTATCTTTCCCAGATTTATGCATTTAGTAGTTATTTGTTACCAAGATATCTAAGAATAAATAGCTGGGTAGGAGGAGTCTTTACGTTAGTTTTGTTTGGATTGCAGAACTTTGTGGTCCCTCGGAGTGATTCCAAGATCCATTTCCATTGTTAGTCCCATCAATTGAAATAAATTATGTGCTTCATTTTGGTATCAGAGCAGGCTATGCCTGTCACCCGTAGTAAAAGCTTATATACCATGTCATCACCTTGCAATTCAAACCCTGCCCAAATGCAAGCCAACCCTCCACCACCACCTCCTCCTATTGACCCCAAAACCATCCAACCCACGCAAACCATACTCCAGAATACCAAGACCACAATCTTCAGCCCTCACCCAATGATACCACATTTATTATCAACCTCTTGGAGAACTTTACCCAATGTCTTACTGTGTTGGAAAGTCGTGTCCACCATGACGTCTGCACGATCTCTCGAACGTGATGTGCCTCCGGACGTGAGTGAGGAGGACGAGAATCACTTTGATGAAGCCTTGGATCATGGATTGGGTTGCCGTCATCGTGACCATTGAGAAAACCATGTTCCAAGGTGTGGGGTTCATCGCCATGAGTTTGATTATTCTAGGCGTGTGTAGTTGGAGATCCCAAATTTTTATGGCAAATTTGGCCCTAAGGCTTTTGAGGACTGGTTGCTAGCCATTGAAGATTACTTTGATTGGTTTGACATTCCCGAAGATTGTAAGGTTTGTTACGTTCGAATCAAATTGAAGGCGCATGCGAGAGCTTGGTAGAATAGTATGGAAGAGCAGCCGAGGCGTACTCAACGTTCTCCGATTCAACATTGCGAAGTGATGAAGTAGAGGTTGCGAGACAAGTACTTGCCTTTGGAGTATGAGCAGATTATGTAAGAGGACATGTGGCATTTTCAGCAAGGTAACTTGACGGTAGCGAAGTATACTGAGCGATTCCATGAGCATAGTGTTCGAAGTCGTATTGTTGAGCATGAACAACAGACGTCGTCTCGTTATCTTTTGGGGTTGCATAGTGAATTGCAGAAAGAAATGTTGACGGCCCGTTTAATTAATGTTGATGAAGCATATCAAATGGCTCTACTTTTAGAACACCTCAATGGTCAATCCAGTGGGCAACGTGTCATGGCAACAGAATCCACTTCTACTCGTCCGTTTGTTGACAGTGGTCGGCCACCAGCAGAAATCAGTCGTGTTTATTCCAACGGTGGTGATGTGAAGGCAAGGCTACTTGGGAAGACAGTGGACCGCAATGTTATAAATGTAAGGAGTTTGGGCATTATGCTATAGTATGGCCTACGCACGATAAAAAATTAGCTGTAGAAATTGGGTTGCTGCTAACCAAAGTGCTATTTTTTTAAGTAAAAATCCTATTTTGCATGATAGATCCAAACATATAGATGTAAAGTTCTATTTTATTAGAGGTATCATTGATAGGGGTGATATTAGATTGATCAAAATACATACTAAGGTAAATCCAGTAGATGCCCGAACTAAGGTAATCTCTATTAGTAAGTCTCTTGATTCTTTAAGATTAATTAATCTTGGAGAAGACTGATTTTCATTATTTTGTTTTTACAGGTAATAAGAGCAAATGAAATGAAGTTAAGTTTTGAATCCACAAAAGTAGACACAAAAGACAGCAAATGTGAAGAATGTAGAAATTGGGTTGCTGCCTTTGTGAAGCCCAAAGTTAATATGCCCAACCCATGACCCGGTTAAATGGCCCATCAGGAAGAATAATCTGGAAGCTCAATTGGGTTAAAGAAAAACACGTTTTTTCAATTGTGAAAAAACGACTTTCACCTGATCTTGACACTTGGCAATTACTGGACCATTGGATCAAATGATTTGTTTCTTTCATATAAAAGAAACTAAAACTCCTAGGGTTTGGAGGCTCTCATTTTTACGCAGCTTTCATTTTGAGTTAAAAATTTCTCTCTGTACTTTGACTCTCTCATCTTGGATCTTGTCGATTTTCTGTTATTGATCGAGAGTATGCGTGATGTTATGAACTCTTGTGTGAGTTCTTCGTGTTGTTGAGGGGATTTTGTTGTTGTTGTGGCTAGAACTATGTGTTCCGTTTGTAATTCAAAATTGCTGTAATTTGGGCCGATGTTTTGTAGTGGATTCGAGCTTATTCCTTCATGGATGCTCAACGGGGACTAGGCGATCTGATAAATCGTTGAACCTCGGGGCTTCGGCCAAAAATCGCTTGTGTTCTTTTTATTAGTTTTTCAAATCTACAAATCTTGATTTTTAGTCTTGCGATTTTCGATGGTTTTGAAACGTTCCTAGGGTTCCTACAGTGGTATCAGAGCTTGGAATATTTTTTTTTGCTGTTTTCAGTCACCTTTTTAGTCGAGGATTTGAAATATCGTTCACTGGCCGAGAGGAAAACGGCAGAACTTGAAAGATTCGCCAACATTATTTTTTTAAATTTTCTTCTTTTTATTTCGAGTAACACTGAAATTATTTTTCTTTGGCACTGTATGGTGTGCTTCTTTCACCCTTACAAAATCAGTGTGGGTGTCGCTATTCTTTAAGAAATTGAAATGTTCTTGTTGGTTGTGGAGTCCTCTTAATTTCGGTTGGTGCTATTCTTAAGACTGGAAAGAAATTCCTTGATACTGTAGGACTTGATCACCTGCAGTGTTGGTGTTGATCTTCGTTTACAAAATAAATGAAGCCTATTGTGTTTTGTAAATGCTGCAGTACAGTGATAATTTTTGAGTATATTGTAAGCAGTAAACTAACTTGTTTCTTGGTGAAATTCACAGATGCCTCTTGTCTGTTTTGCGGTACCTGCAGTCTGCAGACATTGAATTTGTGATTTATCAGTTTTTTGCATTGTATTGCTGGTACATTTAGTTCTTGGAAGTATTTTTTTGGTAATAAAATCATTTTTCAAAACTAGGGTTTCACAGATGCTCCTCTAACTCTACCTCTGTCTAAGGTTCCCTAAGAGAACCCTAGAAACTTTGGGGATTAGGGCTTCGGTTCAAGAACCCTATAATCTTCAAAACTGTTCTTTAAAAATTCTCACTGTGTGTGGATAATAAAACCAAAAATTACATTTTTATAGTTAAATTCTTGTACATTCTGTGTGAACTGTACTAATATTCAAATTGATCTTCTCAGGTGTTGAATTGCCTAAGAATAATTGCTTCAAAGGTACATACATTGCATTTACAATTTTTGGTAACTTACTGTGTGTAAGCTTATGTGATTAAATTCATTGCATGCTTAGTGATCTGAATATTGAATGTGTCTTAATTTGGTTGAAATATTTCTGTACACATCACACTAAAGCACAATCTATATATAATCTGAAATTGGAATAATAAGACAGTGATCTTTGTGACATACTGTTGACTGAATTACTACTGTGATATATCTGTTTTATCATACTTGTGAACAATTGCACACTATAGCACACCATGAATTCTAAGGTAGATGTCCAAATTTGGGATGGCAAATGAGACTTTAGTCTCTGGTGTCAGAAAATAAAAGCACTCATGTTACAGTTAAAATGTGCTAAGGCTATTGATGAATCTTGGCCAGAAACGTTATCTTAGGCTAGGAAAACTAAACAAGGTGAACTAGCTTGGAGCACTTTGTTTCTACACTTATCTGATACTGTGATTAAGAAAGTAGGAGAAACTAAAACTGCTGTAGAATTGTGGAATGCCTTAGAAAAACACTACCTCACTAAGACTGTACCAAATAAATGTTTTCTTTGGAGACAGTTTTTAGTTTTAAGTTTGATCCTAATCTTGATACGGGAGATAATATGGATAGATTTAATAGGATCACATAAGACTTAGCAAACTGTGATGAGAAAATTTCTGATGAACAAAAGGTAGTTGGCCCACTTAATGCTCTAGGAGATAAATATAAAGACATAAGAAATGCTCTAGAGTATGGTAGGAGTGATCTCACTGTTGAAATAATTCACAGTTCTCTTCTGAATAAAGAACTTGAATTAAAATCTGAACACAAAGAAGTGTTCTATGTTGAGGGTTTTTCATCAAACCAAAAACCACATGTTAAAGGAGTAAGTAACTTCGGTCATTCCAATTTTAACAAGAACAAAAATTTTAACAAAAGGCAATGGAATAACACCAAAGGAAAAGGCAAGAAACCAATTAAAGAA